GTACTATTGTTCACCTAGTCAGTCACTTATGTGCCATGCGTGATACACGCTTAGGCGATCATGTATCGTTCGATACATGACTGACGAGGCAGATTTTTCACGGAGTAGGTTGCCGTAGACCACCCGAAGCTATAGAACCAGGTCTGCTATTTACCCTTAGATGGCGGGTGGGGGGGGGGGAGAGGATTCATATCTTTCCCAAAGGTATTAGCACATAAGTGAATGTAATGGATCTGACAGAAATTCGAACTCGGCTCCCCGATTTCTCAATCCGAGCCGCTATCCATTACACCACTGTGCCCCCCTCATCTCAAGATAGAGCCTTACTGGTGAGGTGGATTTTTAGACGTAAGAGGGGGGATTAAGATATGCAGATTATGAGAATATGTATAATAGATAACGGTGGTTCCTAAAGAGGTTAAGATTGTAGTAATCAGTATATATATATATATATATATATATATATATATATATATATATATATATATATATATATATATATATATATATATATATATACTACTACTACTAGTAGCATGGCCCGGCGTTGCCGGGATTGATTCAAAAATCGTACGACTCATACAGCAATCGCTATCACTTGACTTAAAATATTTTTGCCCTTCCTTACCTTTAAAGGAGTGCCCTTTGCCGTGCTGATGTTGCTACATGCCTTACTTCTTGCCTATCTCACACTGCGAATTTTTTCTAAGCTCTCTACTAAACATTAGATCTGTTACGAAAAAAACGAACTAAACAAAATGAACACAAAACGATCAGCTTTAAAAAAGGACTCGTAACTGGAAAAACCGAATGAAAAAAGAATGTTGGCAACACCCAACCCAGTTCTGCGGAATCAGAATCAACGTTGAGTTTAAGAAAGCGAATGAGCCAATTGAAGTAAAGTCCCATGCAGATTTAAATTTTCCCCTCTTGTGACGAATGCAGCTATCGAATTTGTTTGCATGCTAGCATGCTAGTTAATATTCGTGACAGTCAGCTGTTGGCCAAAAGAATCTTCCTGCTTATTCGTGGCAGCCAGCTATTGGCTCTCACTCTAGGCAGTAGAAAATGGCCGCAAACTACATGAAAACTGTCGTAGAAGAATGAAAAAATCGATTATTTCCACTATTGATGGGAGTTGGGAAATGCAAAGTTGGTCTTGGCCTTCCCGCTAACTTGGAGCATGTGCATGTCAATTTTGGTGCAAATCAGTCGAAAATTGCAGCCTGCATTCCTTACACACACACACACACACACACATCCTGCCTTTTATAGATAGAGATAGAATAAGAGTCTTGCTACGGTTCGCGTGCTGGAGTGGAAAATAATTCCTTACCCACAAAGCTGTATAGAAACTTTTGAACTCTGTCAACGATGGAAAATATTAACATGTCATCATCATCATCATCATCATCATCATCATCTTTTGTTTGACATGTTTCTTCAGGACAGTAGTGATAATGGCATTGATAATGCTAATATCAGCCGTTTCCTTATAAGGAAACATTCGACATTCGACATTCACTGACCGAGCACCCAGTGCTGTAGTCGGTTGAAATTTATAAAATCTTGAACTTAAAACAATTTCTTTGAAAAATATGGTTTCTCGTGTTCACTTTCCACTATTGAAGAAACGTTTCCTTTCCCCACCTTTTGCTTAAAGCAGTGTGGAATGTCAACATGCTTATGTCATGTATATGTGATATACCTTTTAGCTGTTGCTGCTGTTTAAATTCCCCAAGTGCGTTATTTTCTTCTGCCCATCTTACTTTCAGTAACAAATTTTCAAAGCACTCTTTACTCATTAAGTGGCCTCGAGATTTCAGCTGCCACTTCCTTATGTTAAGTAAAAGTATCTTTTTTATTTCCATGTCTCTAGAACTTCGTCGTTACTCAAATGTTAGTTCCATGGTATTCTCAGCATTTTTCTGTAGAACCATATTCCTGTTGCTTTAAGTCTTTTCTTCATCTTTGAGATTGTCCGGCATTCACTGCCTTATAGAAGGACTGATATTAGATAACAGTTTAGCATTCTTTTTCTTTTCCCCTTTCTTAATACATTGCTTTCAAAAAATCTCACTTTAAGTAAGTGTAATATAACATTAAAGAAGGAAACATTGTCAGCTTTAAATCATAATTGAAACATAAATATATTTTTTAGTGTTTAACTTTTAGATATTGACTATTAACTACTATTAAGAAAGAGTATACGTTTTGGGAGGAATTTCTTTCCACATGCTGGCAGAAAAATAAGTGGCGTAGAGGGCTTGCAGAATTTGACACCCACAGGACAAATTGAATACAAGAGGAACTGATGAAAACAGCGAATAATCTACGAAATTATCTTGTGTAAATGGTTTGCCGACCACAGATTAGGAGGGATAGAAAAAAGACAAACCTTGCCAAGAGCTCCAAAAGACAGGAAGTTGTGAAGAGCCATTACCGCCAACTTCTTGAACGGACACGACACATAGATGAAGAAAAAGAAATTCGACTGTCTTATTAATCCATATGTAATCTCTCCTTATGTTACCGTAAATATATTATTATTATTATTATTATTATTTTTATTTTCTTTGATTTCTGGCGTTTACACATTTCTTTCCGGGTCCCGCCCAGGGACCTAAGGTTAGAAATGGCGTCATGACACTTTCCACTAACAAAAAAAAAAAAATGATTACATAGATAAAGCCCTATTATTATTATTATTATTATTATTATTATTATTATTATTATTATTTATGCTATGTTTCTTGCTTTGTATCCTGTAGAGCCGGGTTCAAAATATGGTCCTTAGGCCATATAGGAGATTTGTCACTTAATTGATAGGACTTTTCTTAGTATAACGGATGTTTCTAGTAGGGTGATCTTCTGGGCAACTAGTATGTTGATGTTACTAGGGACACTGTTAGTAAAATTGTCCATTCCTTTACTTACGAGGCCCAGTACTTCAATTAGTATTCATTCGCCACATCCTGTTCATCTTGATCTCCAGGTACTTGTATTTGGATAATTTCTCGATAATTTTCATGGTGGTGTTTCTCTCAGATGGTACTGCTATGTCGATTAGCATACACTTCCTGAATTTCTTGTCTTTTATGATAATTTATTATTATCATTATCATCATTATCATCATTATTATTATTATTATTATGTAAAAATGAACTAATAAAAATCTACTAAAATAGCAAGCGTTTTGTCTGAGTTTATTGGCTATTTTACTTTCATGTTTGTTCTGCATCCCGAATTTGTGTCCGTCTACGCATGCGTACCTCAAGACAGCCAGATAAACGCCTTAAGGTAATTAAAACTTCGAAGACAAAGTTCTGTTTATCAGCAGGTTTAATAAAGGTCAAAAGTGTAAAACTAGAAAATATAATAGGCAAGAATCTAACAACTAACAGAAAAACTGAACATAATTGAAAGCAAGGGTTTTAATATCTATCGAAAGTAGCAAGTTGTTTGCTACAAGAATACATTACAATGGTTCCGTATAAGTTCTCAAAAAGGAAGAATCTTATATGGTTCGGTCATTCAGTTATGTGCCTTACATGATACACGGTTGGGCGATCATGTATCTTTCGATATATGACTGACGAGGCAGATTTTTTTTCCCGCAGAAGGTTGCCATTTCTTTCTGCAGGGTTGTGGGGAGGAGAAGAAGAAGATACATACTTTTCACAAGGGTATTAGCACGTAAGTGAATGTTTTAAAGGATTCGATTGGAATTCGAACTCGGCTCTCCAATTCCTCAATCCGAGGCGTTATCCATTACTCCATTTTGGAAACTGTATGTAAACAGTGAACACCTGGTGGAAAGGATTCTGTAAGGAAAGATACAAGCGTAAAATAAGTGCATAAAAGGAGGCTACGTTAAACAAATGTTCAACTAATAACATGATTAAAGAGACCAATGCAGAGAGAAAAGATTTTTTAAAAGGTATGTAGAGGCGATGCTACCATTGTAGGGCGTAATATTTAGGAGGGTGAGAAAAATATGGCCCGCGTGGTTGAGCCTGTACTTTATTTCGACGATAATTAAAAAAGCTAACAGGTATTAAAGGGGGGTGCATGTTGGGGGGCATGTTGGGGGGGCATGTTGGGGGGCTTTATCAATACTTACGCTAAAATTACTACTAATTTTTGTGTTCTTTTTTTGTAGATTACTTAATATCAGGATATTTAAACTTTATACCGATTTTAGCTTTTTTTTTTTTTTTTTTTGGCTTGATGTTCTTTTTAGATCCGGCGATTTCAGACACTATTCCGCATGATTTCAAAAATAACTCTTCAACAATGGAAGTGACAAGAAATATTCATTCTGTCTATGGAAGTGAAGCTTTATATATACCAACATTGGTTCTGCCAGTTTCGATCGGGGAATTTTGCTCTTGAGCCTTTCCCTCGATCGAGACGACTAAATTCTGTCAATATTGAGTTCTGGCAAACAGTGTATTTTACAATCTAATCAAACTGCACGAGAATTAGCATAAGAATTCAATAAATGTCACACTTTGATCATAAAACATTTTATAATCTCAGATAGCGGTTTTGGATTTTGTTAATGCTTTTCTAATCAGATTAACTGCCTTCAGCTCGGCCTGAAAAGCGATGAAAAGTGGCTACTTTATAATCGCATCCAACGAAAACAACAATGGCTAGCACCTACTGCAAAAGAAGTATCTATCTACAAACCAGCACTACATTCGAAAGTGGGATTTGAAAGATTTCTATATTCTCTATTCATTGATTGATTTGATTTTTTACGGCTTATCAACCCTGTGCAAGTTATTGAAAGCCAGCAATTTTTTTTTTTTTAGATTGTAATATTTTTTTGTCCGATAATAATTATTTACTGATACAAGTCCTACTAATTAAACTCTAGCTGGAGAGAGAAGAGATGAATTCATACCTTTCACAAGGGTATTTACATGTGAGTAACGAATCTGACGGGAATTGGAACTCGGCTCTCTGATTTCTAATTACATTACACTACGCGCTTACAACGCCTATTTTCCCAAGTCGTCACCCATCTATGTACTGACCAGGTTCGATGTTGCTTAACTTCGGTGATCATACGAGAACCGTCGTTTCAATGTGATATAGCCATAATCCTGGTGCCATCCATAATGAAGTACTCTACCAAAATGAACCAGTATGCAGGTAAATCTTGTTAAGTAGTGGAAATATTGCACAGATATTTGCAAGAAAGGTGCCCATTATTGGTTAGTCGTCAGGCATGCTGCACTTACACGATGATTCAATTTGAGTGAAGTCATTTAGGAAAAGTTCTTTTCCTCAAATTAAGTTTTAATTATAAAGATAATGATGGTGATTATGGCAATGCTAATAAGCGACCAGCCCTGAAAGTAAGAGTCATTTCTATTGTTTAATAAATGAAGCAGATATTTTTATTTTTATTTTGCGGAACCGATTATCGCCTTTGTTAAAGCAATGGAATTTTGTTGGCATTAGTAAAAACGTTAGAGTCATTATTTCGGAATGTAGGTGAATAGATTTGGGAATGCGGAATTTTGTTGTATTTTCTTCACATATTAACGCATCTTTCCGACTCATTTAATGCATTTAATTCTCCTAATTGAAGCCAGAAGTTTTTCATCATTGAACAAATTCAAATTTTACCTCCGCCACGTCGACCGGGGTCACGTGACAATTTCCTGCGTTTTCTGCATGACAGAATTCGATGCTAATCAGCGTTTATGGGTGGGAAGTATTGTTTTGAATCGGGTAGGCTGCAAGGAGTTTGTTGAAATGATTTTGCTACCCGTAGATTTTTTTTTTTTTCACTTATTACACACGATGAGTTTTGTCAGCGGGTAAACTGTTTTTTTTATTGCTAACAACAAAATGAGTTTGTTAAACAGCTAACTGTGTTAACCTAATCACGTGTGAATATTCGATATCTTAATTTTTCTGTAAGTTTTCTTTTTTCCTTCTTCTTTTCCTTGTTCTCCCTTTATCTTCTGTTCAAGTCGGGGAAACACTGCAAATAAGACTGCAGTGAATATAAAAATTATAACAAAAATCCAATGCTTGCAACGAAGCTGAACCCAGTGACGTCAAGAAGAATTAAAAAGGCAATTTCTTGCACATGAATGGATACTTGTCGTAAAAATATTTCTTTGTCAAATCGAAAAGGAAACGAAGCCGTAAAATTCAGGAATTATGAAATAATTTCTAGAATATTCTTTAGTTATATACCAGCAACATTTTCCTCTATAACTGATTTTAGGCGTTATTCTTTGCATAGTTTTTATACGATATGACTATTTTTTTATAGGTTTTTGTATTGTCTCATATGAGAGGCAATTTCTGATAATTCAAAGATTTTTCCTGAGTACATCATATGGATTTAATCATTTTTTTTTTCGGCTAAATCGACAATCGGAACCGAATGCATCTTAAGCCCGGATTTTAACAACAATGTCATCAGCAATTTGCTTTCATGATTTGATATCCAGAAAAAAATAGAGATTCTGATATGAAATCTGGTAATAATAATCATAAAAATAATAATAAACTTTCAACAATATTCAGTAGGAAATCATTTTCAACTATATTAAATATATGTCAAAGGAATACAAAAGGATATTTAAAAAAAATTAATCTAATTACACAGAACGTCCCTGGTCACTCATCTATGTACTGGACAAGACCAAAACCTTTCGAAAACCTGTGATTCAACATATAGCCGTAAGCCTCACTAAATTATGATAAAAGTTGATTCTAAAATCGGAAATCTTTTCTGAACGACTTAATATTTTGTTTTATTATTAAAGTTAGCAGTTACGTCTTTTTATCTTAATCATTTCATCCCAAGCAAGGCGATAATGCCACTATGATGCAGGAGTGAAAAAGAATGAGAAGACCTATGCCGGTAATTGACGAAAGGACAAAAAAGTAACATGGTTCAAGAAAACAGAAGAAAACGTTGCATTTAACATGCCATTTACATTTTTGGAGTTTCTAGTTACCAGAGAACAATGAATCGGAAAGGAGCTACATAGTTAAGAAATGCGATAAAAAAAATGTTAGAATAGAAGTAACGGTTGCGTCTAGCTAGTTCAACAGTAAAACAGTGAGACCTAATTGCAAATCTAGTAGCACGATTAAATTCATGTTGTTTGGGCATCTGGGAAAAAAAGCTCATCAGAACAATTGCGATGAAAATATTTGTAAAAAGAACAAAGTGGGGTTGCGTCACATCGTTGAGAAAGTAATTGAAGTCGAGATGCCTGGTCAGGATCGATTGCATTATAGACTGTTCTTTGAATTTTTTCATGAATCTTAAGACGTGCAGCAGGAGCACCAAAGCAGATATTATAACAATATTCAATACACAGACTAATTGTAGATTTATAAATGTGCCAGATGGATTGATTTGATTGGTTGGTTGGTTGATGGATTTTAACATGTCAACCCGTTCGGTGTCATTTTATGCCTAGAGTTAAGGAAATAATATGTGCTGTATGCCGATATTTACACTTTTTTAACGGTATGTTAACATTGTCAGGGGTCGTGTTGAGGGGTTATCTTTGTATGGTATTGATTAGGTTTACGTTTATATTTTTTGGTATAATTTCATTTCTCCTAGAAAAGATAGAATAGCCATCTATGTTGATATTTTCGAATAAATCTTTGATATTATTTGCATTGTAAAAGCATTTTCTGATGGAAGCGAAGGCTCCACATTCTCTGAGGAAGTGTTTAACAGAGCATGATGTTTAACATTCTACATACCGTAGTAGTTGTTCCTTTTTGAGTATAAAGGAGTGTGTGAGTCTTGTGTGTCCAATATGTAATCGGGATATAATGATTTGTTCCTTTCTGAACTTTCTAAAAGCTGGTGACCACTCTCTCAAAGTGTTTTGTATGAAGGAATCTATTAATATTTGGTTTCATGTCAGTATATGGAATCTTGAATTTGTCGGGGATGGAGGTCAGATCTAAAGCTGATTTGGCTGATGAGTTAGCACTTCCATTTTTCCCTCACTCAAATTTGGCTAGGTTGGGACCAAAACGTACGCAAAGTCAAGTATGTTGAAGCAAAACGTATTTTAACATTTTTCTTCATGACATGAGAGACGACATAATCAGAAGATAGAAAGACAAGCAACTTATTAAACATTAGGACATTTCTGGAAAGGTATAACAATCGTATAATGAAAAGCGTTTTATGGTAATTTCTATTTAGCGCATGACGTCACGTAAATAATGTACATAATTGCAATACCTCATCACAGAAGTATAGACAGATATAGCGGGGAATATACGTCATGGGTTTGTGCGAATGGATGACATCGTGGGCACAAGGAAACGCGGTAAAGAATCAAATACTGTTTAGAGCGACAAGAAACAGGAAGTTGTGGAGGGCCGCGGATCATTGAAGAAAATTCGTCTCGGTATTTTTTTTTTTTTTGGTTTTTATCTCTTACTATGTATATAAATCTTTGAACTTGTGGAGAGCCATACATTAACTTAAAAAAATCGAGTCATATTCTTAAATCTCCTCGTCAGATCAAGGCTTTCATATGGGTGCCCTGCATGTCGCCAAACTTGTTCAAAAATATCTAAACAGTCTGGTCAATACAACCGCTTACTATGATCAATAGTAAAAATGGTTTTCAATGAGTGAAGCCTGTGGATTCTTGATGAAGACCATCCTTCGGAAATTGTGAACCAGCACTACAGAATCACAATGAACTACAGCTTATGTGACAGGATTTTTGTGTTATTCGTAAGGATTAGTCGGGTTTTTTTTTTCTCTAAATTGATTCTTATTGAAAAAACAGTTTCGGTTTGCGAACATTTCGGCTTACGAACGGTCTTCAGGAACAAATTAAATTCATGAATCGCGGTTCCACTGTATTTCTCTTTCAGATATTGTGAGAGCATTAACATGATAGTGTCTAAGCTGTGATAACAAAAAGCAAATTATTAATAAAAGACATTCTCTGCTCGTTGTACAAGCTTTTAATCACAGCGACTCGGGAATAGCCAACTTCTTAAAAGTGGTTTGTTGAACATGAGGAATGACATGATCATGTGCGGACCTGACCAAAATACCCACGAAGAAGCCCACCAATTTCACACCGTCTGGGATGGTTCAAGGGGTCGGAATCAATGATGACCACGTCAGGTCCGTTCATTTTTTCGTCGGTCGAAAAACTAATGCAGTATTTACTTGTGCCGTGGTGTAAAAAATGCACACAATATTACAAGACAGACACGGATACACCACTGTACGTCATAGACATACACATCTAAGAATATTAACATATATCACAATTAATTAATATCCGATTGCTCATTTCCGTGTATGCTGGTCTGCTAGGGTCTTTAGATAAGCCCTGTTTCAGTTGCCGTCTTAAGCATTTTTACAGGGTGCTATGGATAAATTGTCGCCGTTTTATATCTTCTAATTTTGCGCAGATGCGTTGATTGTTTTCAGATTTTGTTGACTGCATAGTATAATAGGGTCAGTTGGGTACCGGCTGTGAGAAAAAGAGTACCCTGACGTAATTCACTCCGCCAGAAATTTAGAAATTGGATGCTGTATTTCTTGGCATTCACGCCGGAAGCCCCAATAAGAATTATATCAAAGTGTTTGGGTATTAAGCTGAGGACAGTGCAGAGCTAGATGAGTTTAATGGTGATTACAAAGGTACGCCATATATATATATATATATATATATATGAACTTCATTTCAATCCATCATGAGCTTCCGATCCTTAGCTATGATTAATTAATGGTGAACATGTCATTTTCGTTTGTGATCGATTCATCACGATTCTCCTGTTAAGCTTCGAGCGTAATTATACATTCTTATTGTTCAAAGTAAAGCCAATAGTGTTACAAAAAACTCAGAGAATTCCAGTAAGATATCTTTAATCATTTCTAAGATACAACGGTTCAAAGCTTAATCTAACAAATGGACAATTTTGCTGTTACACCCGGTATATCTGTTAAAATGTAATGTCAGTGCTATTTTCATTTCGCTTGAAGATGGAACAGAGTTTGGTATTTTAATTGAATTTAATTCAAATAATTTTATATATAATTTTCGTCTCTTGTTTTGAAACATGAGA